TGAAGCTGTCCTTCAGTCTGCTGGTCCTGGCCTGGAGACTCCGCAGTCTCCTCCCTGACGGCAGCAGCTTGAAGAAGCTTTGCATTGGGTGCGTGGGATCAGCCGCTATGCAAAGGGCTTTTTTAGTGAGACGGGTGCTGTAAATGTCCTGGGGGGAGGGGAGAGAGACACCAATGATCCTCTCTGCAGCCCTCACTATGCGTTGGAGGGTTCTATGACAGGACGCATTGCAGGCTCCAAACCACACAGTGATGCAGCTCGACAGGATGCTCTCGATGGTGCCTCTGTAGAAAGTGTGCATGATGGGGGCTGGTGCTCCTGCTCTTCTTAGTTTGCAGAGAAAGAAGAGACGCTGCTGTGATTTCTTGGCCAGTGCTGTGGTGTTGTACGTCCAGGAGAGCTCCTCTGTGATGTGCACACCCAAGAACTTGGTGCTTCTCACTCTCTCCACAGACGCTCCATCGATGGTCAGAGGAGCATGTTGGGTGTGCATTCTCCTGAAGTCCACAACAATCTCCTTCGTCTTCTCCAAATGTGTTACCTCTATGACTACTTGCTGCCTTTAAATTTGATTTTCCCCAGTTTTCATCTTTAAGGAACTCCTCTGTTGGTGTGGCTGTATGCTTGTGAACAAAGAATTAGTTTGGTGGATGTATTCTTATTTTTAGATTCAAAATAGCTTCTTTGGCAACTAAGGAATTCAAAAGTCATGACAAATTATTAATTCATAGTTTTCAGATGATACAGCAAATTTGAACCACCTGGGGAACCGAAAATACCCAATACGGCAATCGTGGCTCAAGAGTTGGGTGTTCGTCTTGTAATCGGAAGATTGCCGGTTCGAGTTCCGGCTCGGACAGTCTCGGTCGTTGTGTCCTTGGGCAAGACACTTCACCTACTGGTGATGGCCAAAGGGGCCGATGACATGATATGGCAGTCTCGCTTCTGTCAGTCTGCCCCAGGGCAGCTGTGGCTACACCTGTAGCTTGCCTTCACCAGTGTGTGAATGTGAGAGCGAATGAATAGTGGCATTGTAAAGCGCTTTGAGGGGTCCCGAAAAGCGCTATATAAATGCAATCCATTATTATTTATACATATCTAATCCTAATGTAAACAGAAACAAATCACTTATTTGTACCAAACACTATTCCACAGATCTGCACATAAAGAAACTGAAGAAGAATTGAAATCATTCAAAGACAGGTACTGTACTGAAACGTGGATTTAACACCATCTGTTTATTTTACAATTTCAACATTATCTATTACTATTACCAGAGTGGCAGGAGAGGTTGACATTGCACTACAGGCCGGGAACTCTGAAAACATGAACAACCCAGTGAATGAAACCAGACTGAAAGAGATGTATAAAGAGCTGAGGAAGGACTGGACTAGAATCAAGCCTTATCTGCAGAAAGTTCACAGCACCCCAGAGAGAATCAAAGCCTGGATTCAGGTGGGGCATTAGAGTGAGATTATAGTGTAGTATGAACTTTATTCTTATAAAAAATATTTTTATTCCCTCTGCTCTGCGAATTATAGCGCAGCTTTCTGTGTGGGACAGGGGATATGGAACAGAAGAAGAAACTGATAGAGTTAGCATTTAACCTAAATGCAGACCACGCTCAAGCATCTGAGAAGGTACTGATGTGTCTGGGATGTGTTAAACATGATCACTGAAGCTTTTGTGATAAAGATCAATGACAGGTTTCATTATTTGTTTCAGGTTAATGAATACACGAACCTAACCCTTCACAACCTTCAGCTTGCTTTTTACTACAGTTTCATAGACACTGCTGCTCAGGTTTGTTGGACATTGCACACATTGTAAATACACTACACTGTGCATTTGTGGGACATGAAACCAAACCCAGGTTATTAAATTGTTTGTTCAATAAGAAACTGTAACTTAAACACAACAGCTCTTTTTTGAATTAAATGTTTGTCATTTAAACTTGAATAATTTCTCAATGGCAGGGGTTCCATGGACAGGAAGGTGAAATTCATGATGCTAGCTTGAATAACCTCCTCTCGAAGTGCCGCTGGCTGAGCGGTTTATTTGCTTTGAACAACCCCCCTCTTCTGCCTGACTGGATAAATCATCATCCCGGGCAAGATGCTTGGAACATTTTCCCACAAGAGATCACAACTGATTCTGCCATGTCACTCTGCCAGGGCCACTCTGCAAAGGTCAATAAATGTCTTTGCCCATTACAGGGCATGAACGAGAGTGGAGACCTCTGGAACAATGCAGCAGAACAATGTAGAAGTAAGAGAACTCCAACGTAGCTTGTGAAATAAAATTAGTTATTTCTTTTTAATATATCCATGAGAGATCGAAAAGAAGAAAACTGCACTAGTTTTGTGTTTTAATTGACAACATAGACCCTTATCCAAGAGGCTTCTTCAGTTTTACAGTAATTGCTAGAGAATTCCAGATGATTTAAAAAAAAAAAAAAAAAGCTATAGATGGCTTGCCGTTAAGAAATCCTGGGTAATTTTCCCTGAAGCAAAAAAAAAAAAAAAAGCTATTGGAGGCTTTCCTCTTGGAGGTGGTCATGAGAGTCGCTGGCCCACTTTTGATTATGTGAGTCATCACATGAACCAAGGTATGGAAAACGTCACTGAGAACAAGATGTAAAACCTTAGTAAAACATTACCCCCCCCTACATGAGTTGTTGAAGTCACATGAGGCAAGGGGTGAGTGGAGGTTGAAACACCCAAGTAGGGATCTCAAGACTGCACTGACCGTGAATAATAGGTGGTGTTATAAGTCATCACCTGCGTTCATCCCTGAACAAAGTAAAGGTCTACAGAATCGGGTTACTTTACACTTTAAAATCAGTTCAGCATATTACATTCTGCAGCATCCATGTTCAATTCATACTGTAGCATTTTTATGTTACAGTATGAAGTCTCCAGTAACACTTTGAGGAACCTTGGAGTCATTTTTGACCAGAATATGTTCTTCAAAGCACAATTTGAAATAAATATGTAGGACTGCTTTCTTCCATTTGCACAATATCTCTAAAATGAGAAATATCCTGTCTCAGAGTGACGCTTAGTTACTTAGTTATGCTGCAATAGGTGTAGGCTGCTGGGGATTCTCATGAAGCATTAAGTATTGTTTCTTCAGTGACCTTTCTCACTCACTATGTGTTAATAGACCTCTCTGCATTGAATCATACTTGTTATTAATCTCTGACTCTCTTCCACAGCATTTTATCCTTTCTTCTTTCTCTCACCCCAACCAGTCGCAGCAGATGGCCCCGCCCCTCCCTGAGCCTGGTTCTGCTGGAGGTTTCTTCCTGTTAAAAGAGAGTTTTTCATTCCCACTCTCACGAAAGTGTTTGCTCATAGGCGGTCATATGATTGTTGGGTTTTTCTCTGTATATTTTAATGTAGGGTATACGTTACAATATAAAGTGCCTTGATTGTTGTTGTGATTTGATGCTATATAAATAAAATTTATTTGAATATAAACACATGTCCCCTCCGCCATCCTGACACTGCCCAACGAGTGCCCTGCTTCATCTCTCCACTGCAGAAGACCAGAGACCACACCCATGGCAAAAATTTCAGAACATTTTACCCCCGACTGACAGTAATGTGAAAGTACTGCTTTGAAAGAGGTGCATGTTTTATTTCCTTGGCTTATATAAAATTAACATGTTTGACTTGACCATTCTTAGTGTCCTGTGTGTTTTAAAACTTGGGATATCCTTTAACGTAAACCAAGGAAAATGAAGAAAAACACATGCTCCGTCTTTGTTTTTGCCTCATAGTAGGCCACTGTTATGGATGTATGTGATTTGACTTTAGAAAAAATTGAGTGGAAGGAGCAGAAGATGATAGTCAGCACGATTTGAGTGTGCGTTAATCTGTCAGAAGGACAAACTGGAGGACTGAGGGGCTCAGACCAAAGTGGGAGGAAGCTGAAGTTTTGTGGCCCTCTGGAGGCCAGATATAATTTATGACATTCATTTTGCTGTGACAAGAGGAATTTTTGATAGTGGTGAAGAGTAAAGAGAACACGCCAACATCTATTAATCCTCATACACATTTTTGTGGAAGTTTTCCAGAGACACTGATGCACAGAAAAATTATCTGCCGGTTTCTGCATCACACAGGGATTCTGTGGATTCCCCTTTGGACCTGAAAACTCCAGCAAGTATAAGAACCCCAATAGGCCTGTAGATCAACGTGGTCCATCTCCTTCCACCTCTCTCCAAAAACACACCTTCCTTCTAGATTACTGCAATCCAGAATAATTTTCTGGATGGAATCTGGGATGAAAAGCTCAAATGAAGACTTTATGTCCTGCACATGAGTAACTGCCACCTGTGTTGGCCCTGGTTGCATCCTTATCACATTAGCAGCTCTGCAGGGTGGCTCATTTCTTGGGCAAGAAGAACATTCAATTTCACCGTTTTTTGACATCCATTTCTCTTTACTTGCTGTGTTGTGGGCTTGTTATGGTCCCAGAGCTGGCTGCTGACGAGCTGGCTGCTGATGGGGTACTCGTCTACTCTCATCTTGATCATTTGTGAGAAGGAACCATATTGGCAAAGTCTTATTTATAGTATTATGCCCCTAATTTGCAGGTGGGACAGGGTATGAGAAAATAAAATTTGGATCCCTCAAGAAAGAGGGTAAAATGTTTGGGAATGTAAGAGCAGACGGTGTTGATAGTTGAATAGTTGAACTTTTTGTGGGAGCAGGAGGGGAAGGAAACACTATCAGCAGCACCAGAAAGGAGGAAGACAGAGTGTGGGAACACAGGACCTACACTTTCAACACTTTTACTAGACCTGGGTCCAGTGGACCCGAACACCTTGTATGTAATGTAAATGCGTGGGGGGAGGTACAGTATGAGGTCATTGAAAATATGTTCGGATTTATGTTCTTCACAGAAAATAAGCCAAAGTCAATGAATTTCAGATTGAAAAAATAATTAATTGTTTAATTTTTCTTTTGGAAAAAAAAATGAAAACGGGTCTCACAAACCCGAACACCATACAAGAATAATCAAAGGAGCTTGCAAAGAAAAGTGTCTGGACTTCTTTAAGTTACTTGAAGACGTTTCACCTCTCATCCGAGAAGCTTCTTCAGTTCTAAGGTCAAATGGTGGAGAGTCCCAGATATAAACCTAGTGGGAGTATCCAGAACTTTATTTTTATTGGTCACCTGAAACCTAAATACGTAGTCAACAACTTTTATGTTCAATGTTCAATGTTGTATGTTTATGTTTATGTTTACAACTTTTTTCTAATAAGCAGCTTGTCATGTGAAAATCCTCCAGGCACCTTCTCTACAGAGTGTCGAAATAAGTGTCAAAATGATCCGGAAACTATATTCAGAGTCAGAGAGACAATTACTCAGCAAAAAATAAAAACCATGAAACAGTTTCACAGTTAAAGGGTTTTCATGTGGAGATCAGATTCATTCTTGCATTCCTGCACCTCCTTAAACTCAGCAGATTTCAAGCTTTCGCTTCTTAATATTTAATATCATCTTTCTTTAAATATTAGGCCTTTCCAGATTACACATAAATTATTGTTTTCTCAGATATTCCACTTTATATTATGTACTTTAAAATAACAAATTTCCACAGAGCACAGAGAATTGATTTTTGTTACTTTGATTTAAAGCCAATATCATGTCACGCCATCATCAAATAGAGGGCGCTCTAACTAATAGATGTGGATCTTTGCGTTTTCTTTTTCAGCTCCAACAACAATTCTTTAATCTGCACCTCTTTCATGAGCCTCATTGTACTCTTACTATTTTTAGACATACAAGCTGCAAAGTTCCTTCATCTAACTTTTCATCTTACATGTGTAAGAGTGAATGGTCTAGAAAAAAGAAAATATCCAGTTAGCGTGAACATGCCTTGTTGATGTCAGACGACAGAGGAGAATTGCCAGAATGCAAAAGGGACTCAAATAATCAGAAGACCACACGAGTTTCACTAAGAACAAAAGACGGGAAATACATGTCCTGGTCTAATGAGTCTGTGATAATGATTACTGCTGTGACCTTCATTGTGACATGAACGTGAGTAAGGAACAGTGGTGAACCAGCGACTAATGCACGCAGGGAGTGAAGGGTGGTCTGTGTGGTTCCATCGAACAGAAAAGTGACTGTGGCTCAAACAACCAAAAAGGTTGATGCTGGTTCTGAAAGAAAGGTGTCAAAATGCATGGTGTATTGCAGTTCATGTGAGGAGGAGGCTAACAAATTTGAGATGTTGACTTGGCCTTTAATTCCTCAGATCTCAGCACACCTTCAGAAGTCCAGTGGAGTCTATACCTCAGTGGGTCAGGGCTGTTTGTCAGTAATAACATCAGTGCACCAATTAGATCTGCAGAGGACTGAAGTAATTATAAGCCAAGGGGTTGAGATGTTGGAACACTGCACATAGTGTATTATGTGTATGTGGGCTCCACCCTGTGAAACACTAGAGTGCACATAAAACCTGAACACAATAAACAACCATTTTGGATCTGACCTTTATATACAGTACAACCAGAAAAATCACAAGGACATTTGTTTTGTTTTTTTTTAATTACAAATTAAAAGATATTGGACAAAAACTTAAACAAATAAACAGTAAAGATCAAAAGTACAAGTTGTATGGGTGCATGTCTGCTTATTGTATGTTTGTTGATTATGCTGTTTTATAATCACGTTCCTTTAAATGTTAAAAAACCCCACAAATAACTGCTACAGCAGCAAAAATTAAACACAACTCCTTAATGTTAATGTCAAATAACAACTTAAAAACACAAAATACATATAAGATATACACTGTCTTTTGAATGGGTTTTTCCTGTGCAGCCAGTTGTATTTAGTTTCAGGCAGTAACACGTTAGTGCTCCAGTTCTGCCCTCGTGCAGATTGTAACACGACTACTGTTGGAAATGTTTCAACAACCTGACTTACAGTGAGCTCAAACTGCACCCGTCTCACAGTCAGCGAGTTGAAGTAAAACATGGTTGCACACAATTTCTGTGCCTTTAGGAAATTCTGCAGAAGTAAATCAACTGTGCTTAAAATAGATTATTATGAAGGTGTAATTTTACATTACATATTTTGAAATATTAGGTAATTGTTATTTTGTTTCATGACGCATTTGTTTTAATTAAAACTTACCCTCCAAAAATAAAGATATAATTTTTTTAGAGAATTTATTGCTGACGTACAAAGCTCCAAAATATTGCATCTTCATAGTTTTTAGTGCAAACCACTTTTGCTTAAAAACAAAAAACACAACAACATCAACAACAACAAAATAAAGCAACAAAGAATAGCAGATACAAACCTGCACCACTTGATTGTTCTGTTTTTACATTGTTACCCCAGTAACAAGCCAAGCGTTCAGACCGTGACCTCTGAGTCAGCTACAGAGCCACGTCCCCTGAATGCTGCCCATCCTCTTCTGTTCCCATTTGGAAGACACAGGTAGTTTGTCATTATTACCTGTTATTACTCCCAAGCCTGGATAATAGGAGGAAGCATACAACACTTTCAAAGCTGCTGAGGACATGACTGAAGGTCACATATATATTAGGGATGCAACGATACACAAAATTCACGGTTCGGTTCGATACTTTGGTGTCACGGTTCGATATTTTTTTGATACAAAAAAAAAATATTCATGCCTTTTTAATTTGTCATTTATTAAAATTATAAATATATATTTTAAATCAAAAGTACAGTTTTTAAATTTAATGTTGCTTAAACAACAAAGTAATAAAAATAAATAAATCTATCTCATCGAGAAAACATTCATCTTTGGAAAAGAGAGTTTATTACAGAGAAATGGCTCTTTCCAAACTAAAAGCTATACTATACGCTTCTTCTGGGCTATAGTCTCAGCAGCATATTAAACATAGTTGCTGTTATGAACAAACAAACAGATTATTTCAGGGTCTCTTTCCAAGAGACGAAAAGCAATATAAGTGATAAATATTACCATTCTGTAGAATATTCTTATATTTCACTTTTACTTGTTCCCATGTTCTAGTGGGTCCTGTGTGGCTCTAATGTGAAAGGGGATATAATATAACAATATAATATAATGTAATATAATATTGGATAATATAGTGTAATATAATAAATCTATGAATAAATAATAAAGTGACTGAATAGTGGTATTGTCATGCGCTTTGGGTGCCTTGAAAAGCGCTATATAAATCCACTCCATTATTATTGTTATTATTAAATTACTTACGAGTTTAATTTGTCAGTAACTTTCTGCCAGCCCTCTCTCCTTGCTTTTGCAGCCTTTGCAGTGTTCCCTTGCGTTTTAATTAAACTCTGAAACTCCTGAAATCCCTCAATCAAGAGTTCTTGCTCTGCTGCCGGAAAATACCGAGCGCGCCCCTTCGACATTTTCGCCGACCAATCAGCGGGTTGCCGATCAATGTTTCTACTATCGATGCGTAGCCCCTTTTACGACACCCAGTGATGTCACATTACTTCATCCAGCTGTACTAATCGTCAACAGCAGGTGTGTTCGGGGAACCGGATTAGCTCGCTCACGGTTAGCGCGATGGTTTGGTCTTGGATGTTTCATTTGATCTTGCATGTAGTAAGCGACGTACGAAGCACAGGGCCCAGATCTGAATGAGGGTGGGGGAGGTCCATGTTGTAAGGTGTGACGGAGTGACCCGTCTC